AAGAGGTGAGTGAGAGTCAGCTATCTCCCCCTTTTTTGCCAGATATTGTTGACAGTGAGGACGGTGGTGAGATACCAATTAGCATAGAAGACGGAGACCAAGAGAACGTGTCGGACGCACAACAAATTCATCAGAGTTGCAGATCGCAGTTCGCAAAGCTCCAAGAAATCCGAGGGTGCCAGAGAGGTACCTTTCCACCATGAATTTTCTCCTAATTGACAGTGGTGAGCCAGAGAGGTATGAGGAGGTACAGTAGACCGGCAAAGCTCGGGACGAGTGGGAGTCTGCCATGGAGGAAGAAATAAAATCCTTGATGAAGAATGAGACTTGGGAGCTCGTAAAGCTTCCAAGAGGGCGAAAGACTCTTCACAATCGGTGGATTTATCGGGTCAAGGATGAAGCTGATGGACGGAGATGCTATAAGACGAGACTTATAGTGAAGGGCTATGAGCAGAAAGCAGGGAGGTGAGACGTTTTCGCTCCCGTCGTCAAGTTGATCACGATTCGAACTGTGTTGAGCATTGTGGCAGTTCGAGATCTCCATCTATGGCAGATGGATGTGAAGACAGTATTCCTTCATGGAGATTTGGAGGAAGAGATCTATATGCATCAACCAATAGGCTTCGAGGAACGAGATAGGGAGGGCCTCGTGTGTCGCCTGCATAAGAGCTTGTATGGCCTGAAACAAGCTCCGCGACAATGGTACATGAAGTTTGAGAACTTTATGAAGGAGAACAGTTTTCTCAAATACGGCATAGACCATTGCTGCTTCATCAAGAGGTATGACGCATCCTATGTGATACTCTTGATTTATGTTGATGACATGTTGATTGCTGGGTCCGATTTGGCTCGCATTAAGAAACTCAAGTGACATCTCTCCGAGTACTTCGAGATGAAGGATTTGGGTCCAGCAAACCAGATTCTTAGGATGAGGATCATCAGAGATAGATCAGCACGGAGGCTGAGGTTGTCTTAGAAGGCCTACATGGAGAAAGCTAAATCGATGGGCTCGTCGTTTGCGAGCCATTTCAAGCTATTAAAGACCTAAGTACCAGAGACTGCTGAAGAACATGAGTTTATGGCCAACATATCATATGTATCTGTCGTTGGGAGTTTGATGTATGCGATGGTGTACATGAGGTCAGATATTGCACAAGGAGTGAGAGTTGTGAGCTGCTTCATGAGCAATCTAGGGAAACAACACTGGGGTGCGGTCAAATGGTTTCTACGCTACTTGAGAAGCTCGTCCGACCGTTATCTTGAGTATGAAGGGGCAGATTTGCAGCTAGAGGGCTTTTGTGATGCAGACTATGCCAGGGACATAGACTCGAGAAGGAGTACGAGCGGCTATATCTTCATCTTGGATGGTGGAGTGATAAGTTGAAGATCAAAGTTACAGGATATTGTGGCTATGTCGATAACCGAAACGGAGTACGTGTTTGCAGCAAAGGACTTCCTATGTTTGAAAGCTTTTCTTTTCGAGCTTGGGTTAAGCTTTGAGAAATACTTCATCCACTGCGACATTCAGAGTGCCATTCACTTGTCTGAGAACGACGCATTCCATTCTCAGACCAAGCATGTTGACGTGAAGCATCATGCCATACGGAGATGGCAAAGCAGGAACGAATTCAAGCTTGTGAAGATTAATACGAGGTACAATCCAGCCGATATGCTAACCAAACCGGTTCCGCTCGAGAAGGTGATGCTGTGTGCAGGCTCATATGGTCTCCGTTGAGAATGTTGAGGGTCGTGTAAGACGCCAAAAATACAAGACATCCGGATGATGCAATCAAGAATGGTGTGAATATATGATTGAAACTCAATTGTTAAGATATACACAATAAGAATGTTTCAAATGGAGACGCAATACACAAAATAAAGACACAAAATCAATCACAGTACTCACAGATATACGTGGTTCACTCCTTCGGAGCTACTCCACGGTACACGACGACGTCCAGTTCTTTTATATTCTAAAAGAATTGGATCAAAGAGAACACTCTCCCTTGATCAAGATACACTTCAAGAACTCTCACAAACTCTCTCTATGTTTTCTCTCTTACTCTTCTATGAGAGGAGTTGTTTCTGGGAATCAATTTTTTTAAAGAGTTTAGGCCCTATTTATAGTGTTTGGGAAATATTATGCACAAATAAAATATTAATAGTGGGACCCGTCACTTAATAATAATTTATTGTGGGACCCACATTCTTTTTTCTTTTCTCAACAAAAGTGTCCACCAATTCTCTCTTTGTCAAATAAAGTGGCTGGGGTTGGTTGGGACAGCTATAATCTAGCCTATATGCTGACCAAACTAGTTTCGCTCGAGAAGGTGAGGCTGTGTGCAGCCTCATATGGCATTCGTTGAGAATGTTGAGGGCCATGCAAGACGCTAAAGGTACAAGACATCTGGATGATGCAACCAAGAATGGTGTGAAGAATGATTGAAACTCAATCAAATCTTTAAGTGGGAGATTGTCAGCCGCTACAGCTAATCCCAGCTATTTTATTTGACAAAGAGAATCGGTGACCGCTTTTGTTGAGAAAAAAGGATGTGGGTCCCATAATAAATTATTATTAAGACGCTAAAGGTACAAGACATCTGGATGATGCAACCAAGAATGGTGTGAAGATATGATTGAAACTCAATCAAATCTTTAAGTGGGAGATTGTCAGCCGCCACAGCTAAACCCAGCCATTTTATTTGACAAAGAGAATCGGTGGCCGCTTTTGTTGAGAAAAGAAAAAAGGATGTGGGTCCCACAATAAATTATTATTAAGTAGCGGGTCCCACTAATAATATTTTATTTGTGCATAGCGTTTTCAAAATTATAAATAGGGCCTAAACTCTTTAAGAAAATTCATCCTAGAAACAACTTCTCTCATAGAAGAGTAAGAGAGAAAACATAGAGAGAGTTTGTGAGAGTTCTTGGAGTGTATCTTGATCAAGAGAGAGTGTTCTCTTTGATCCAATTCTTTTGGAATATAAAAGAACTGGGCGTCGTCGTTGCACCGTGGAGTAGCTCTGAAGGAGTGAACCACGTATATTTGTGAGTATTATAATTTGATTTTGTGTATTTGTTCTGTGTATTGCGTCTCCGTTCGAGGCATTCTTATTGGTGCGTATCTTAACATTGAATACCCCTGATTTTCACCAATATTACTCAATCAATGGATGGGCTAAAGAAAAGACATCATTGATATTCATCATGTGCTAAACCTAGGTCTTGCTTGATTGCGGGTGGTATTCTGACTCTTTTGAGCTATCAAAGAAAGTTTAATCTGGACGACTAACTTGTTTTCCTTTGTTGAAATGAGTTCCTTGAAGATAGAAACTTGAATATGACTAGCAATTAGATCTTGGGGCCATTACGTGATGTTGGGTGCATTAGATTTTGGAGGCCTTGTGCGTAGTGTTACATATTAGTCCTTAACCTTTTTCTTTAAATATGGTCTGGTATAATTTGTTTCTCTACGTTTAGTATGTTCATTCATGGTAATGTAGAATAACGAGTCGATGTTTTTTGGGTGCTAGTAAGAAAACTAAATTTGTAAGTTTGGCTTCTCCATTTTGGCATATCCTGATGTTTCTTTCTCTGGATATATAGTTCAGTTCTTTCACATTAAATAAACAGTTAAAGTTTCATTTGAAATTACCTTCTACTGGTTCTTGCATGTTCTTCTTCAGTGGGAGATTGTCAGCCGCTACAGCTAATCCCAGCTATTTTATTTGACAAAGAGAATCGGTGACCGCTTTTGTTGAGAAAAAAGGATGTGGGTCCCATAATAAATTATTATTAAGACGCTAAAGGTACAAGACATCTGGATGATGCAACCAAGAATGGTGTGAAGATATGATTGAAACTCAATCAAATCTTTAAGTGGGAGATTGTCAGCCGCCACAGCTAAACCCAGCCATTTTATTTGACAAAGAGAATCGGTGGCCGCTTTTGTTGAGAAAAGAAAAAAGGATGTGGGTCCCACAATAAATTATTATTAAGTAGCGGGTCCCACTAATAATATTTTATTTGTGCATAGCGTTTTCAAAATTATAAATAGGGCCTAAACTCTTTAAGAAAATTCATCCTAGAAACAACTTCTCTCATAGAAGAGTAAGAGAGAAAACATAGAGAGAGTTTGTGAGAGTTCTTGGAGTGTATCTTGATCAAGAGAGAGTGTTCTCTTTGATCCAATTCTTTTGGAATATAAAAGAACTGGGCGTCGTCGTTGCACCGTGGAGTAGCTCTGAAGGAGTGAACCACGTATATTTGTGAGTATTATAATTTGATTTTGTGTATTTGTTCTGTGTATTGCGTCTCCGTTCGAGGCATTCTTATTGGTGCGTATCTTAACATTGAATACCCCTGATTTTCACCAATATTACTCAATCAATGGATGGGCTAAAGAAAAGACATCATTGATATTCATCATGTGCTAAACCTAGGTCTTGCTTGATTGCGGGTGGTATTCTGACTCTTTTGAGCTATCAAAGAAAGTTTAATCTGGACGACTAACTTGTTTTCCTTTGTTGAAATGAGTTCCTTGAAGATAGAAACTTGAATATGACTAGCAATTAGATCTTGGGGCCATTACGTGATGTTGGGTGCATTAGATTTTGGAGGCCTTGTGCGTAGTGTTACATATTAGTCCTTAACCTTTTTCTTTAAATATGGTCTGGTATAATTTGTTTCTCTACGTTTAGTATGTTCATTCATGGTAATGTAGAATAACGAGTCGATGTTTTTTGGGTGCTAGTAAGAAAACTAAATTTGTAAGTTTGGCTTCTCCATTTTGGCATATCCTGATGTTTCTTTCTCTGGATATATAGTTCAGTTCTTTCACATTAAATAAACAGTTAAAGTTTCATTTGAAATTACCTTCTACTGGTTCTTGCATGTTCTTCTTCATCTCAAACGCCAGTTGTTTTCAGGTTTTATGTTGAATATCAACATGTATTCTTTTCTGAGTTAAAAATTAATTTATATCTATGTTTCCCTGTCAGATATATTCACCTCATTTAGATACAGCTCCTCCGAGATGGGTCCATTTGGCCCATGGATTGCTTCTTTTTCTCTATCAGGTTAGTTTCTATTTACTAAATAACCATCAATTGTTATGTCCTCAGTTCAGCTTGTTATATTTAATCCTAAGTTTGTAATATTGTTTTAGCTTGGAATCAGCCATGTCAAGAAGGTTCATGATTCACCATGACTCCAAGAACTTAAGTTAGACTTTGTTAAGCAACAAAATAGCAAAAATATAAATGAAAAATAAATGTATACAACATTCAGGAATGATGCTTATGTTTTTATTATACAGTCACAGGAGGTTTCATTCTTCTGGCACCAGTTCTGTGACATGTCAAAGTTATCAAATTATCGTGTATCACGATTTTATTACCAGTTGGTGCAAATATGAGGAGAAAGAATATCAATATATAATACCAGGAGGGAAGATAATAAACTCATCTATAACTTTCTGACTGGTCTTGATGGCATCCAAGTTATGGGATGATGATTGGATCTGTAGCAACTTGTTTCATAATTTCTCATGTCCTATGACCAAAATTTTCTTTTGAATTGGTGTTTTGGAAAGCTGCAAATATGTTTGCTACAGGGATGATGGATTAAACTTAAATGTCTGAAAACCCAAATCCATCATCATGATTTAAGAACAAATTGAAATGCTTAATGAAGATGTCCAAGTGAATCACAACTGGAGTTTCTTTTCCATGATTTTGTGTGTTTCTCGTGTCCACTTCGATGATTTCATTGATAAGGTAAATTGGCATGAAAAATTGATAACTGCTTAAGCTAAACGTGAAATAAATGTATATAAGGGTACGAGGTGCCCTTTCTAACTCTTAACAAACAATATACGTTTAATGCCTTTGATAGAAATCGCCATAAAGGTTTCTGAAGAAGAAATGTCATCAACATCATAAAGAACAATGAAGAGTTTATATTTGTTTAATTGTTTCTTATTTGCTAATCGGGAAAAAGTGCAAAGCCAGTTTTGAAGTGTATGATTTAGAATCGTGCATTGGATTAGATTAAGGCACGTATGAGGCGACTCTTTACATATAATACGGTTTCTTGTTACTGGATATAATTGATGTTCTCATGGGATTTGATTAATGTGCCCAGACCTTTGATGCTGTTGATGGTAAGCAAGCAAGGCGTACAAGTTCCTCAAGTCCACTAGGAGAGCTCTTTGATCATGGTAATTTTCTATAAATCGAAATCTTCAGTTGCATTACTGAATGGAATCTATCTATTGACCCTTATAATTGATTAATTGCAGGATGTGACGCGCTTGCATGTACTGTATGTCCTTCCTTGTATATTGCATTTAGTTGTAATTTCGACATCAATTCAACTTCCCAGCTAATTCTCCTGTTGTTTGTTAGTTTGAAACCTTGGCCTTTGGAAGTACTGCAATGTGCGGAAGGAGTACTTTTTGGTTTTGGGTAATTTCGGCTGTCCCATTCTATTTGGCGACATGGGAACAGTGAGTTTTCCTAAAATTTTCTTAATGCATCATGGGGAAACTATAACAGAAGTTTTATCTGACATGTTTGATATGCTTGCTCTTTGCAGATTGAAATATATTTTTTTTTGTTAGTTGTCATTGCTTTAATCCTGCTTACTTGCAAAATTGATTATATCAATGATGTCACAAATCAAGGGGTATATATATTTTTCTTTCTTTTGGCTTATACATTTTGTTATTTATTGTTACGTGCCTTCTAGTTTTAGAGAGAGTATTTGACATTTATTGTTGACCGGAACATTGTTGATTAGAACATTCCTGAGGATCCAAGTTAACCGGTGATTATTTATTAGATTCGAAGATAGAGGATCATGACAATAGATGAACTGACAAAATTACTCAAGCATAAAATGAGTACTATTTTGATATGAAACTATGAAAATAAATAAATACAAGATTATAAACAAATACTTTCTTCTAATCCTTAAAAGTATGTTGGTCTCTTGGGATAGCCTTAAAAGGTTTTAGGAATAGAAAACGAGGGATAGGTTATGGAGGATCCTTTAAGAATTGAGCATTGGAAAATGTAACTATATTATTTTGTTCCCTAGATGTCCGTAATTGAGGCTAGACAATCTCAATCACTTATTCATTTTGAAATTCAAAGTTTTAAAATTGGAACAAGTGTCGTGTATCACTGTCCACATGCGGGCGCGCACACACAGATAGACAATTAGACACACACGCACATCCCTAGTGTTTGGTGTGTCATGTCATGCCCTGTAAGATAAGTATAATAGACAAGTATAATAGTATAGTACTTAAGTACTTGCATTGACCACTATATACTCATTATAGTTTAGTCAAATTTAAAATATAAAGTGAGTGATAGCTGAGGAGAAATGCTACAAACATGTAGAGGAGAGACACAAGTATATAACTAATACTTCCCATAACTATACGACCGTTAATCAAAGTGACACCACATAATGCATAAAATGCCAAACATAAGCATATTTAATTATATGGACATTAACTTCCTAGACCAAGTTTATAACCTTTCCACACACACGCACACACAAACACCAAGGGGGAAAAGAGAAAAAAAGGAAAAGAAAAAGAAAAAAGAAACCGATTAATCATTCTCTATAGATCTGTCATTATCTTGGTTTCAAGAATTATCTTCATTTTTTTAATCTTCATCTTGATCTTCTTTTTCACTCTAAACAAAATTTTAAAACTTTTGAGTAAGTTCTTTCTCTTTCATTCCTTTTGAGCAATGAGTTTCAAGTTATGGTGCCATCAATACTTGGTAATGAGTTTTAATGTTCTCATCAATACTCAACATAATAGTTAAAAGCTTATTATATATCCGTAGGATGGAATTACGAAATAAAAAAAATTGAATTTTTAACCATTTACACTAATATTGGTACCTCTTCTATTTCTTTTTTTTTCTTTTTTTTTTGGTGTGGCTACTTGGTCCTCATTCAAGCTCAATGTGCTCATGGATACAAACCCCTAGTTCTCTTTTCATGGATGAAGTCCTCTCACGTTCAAAGCACTAATGCATGGATGAAGTCCTCTCACGTTCAAAGCACTAATGGATGATGATTCACTAGATGTGAAATCATTAGTTCAAGTAGAAACTGTTAACCTCGACTGCATATTAGATTTTAATGTTGTCATACCACCAAGGTTTTAAATATCAGTTATCGGGAATTTATCAAATGATCAAAATCCATTTTGGATAGTGAATATTAGGGATATATTAGGGATAAGTAGTATTTATCAGAGTGATATATCAGATAATGTACAATACATGATATAATTTTCTCAAATGTAATCTAACCATACTTAATGAAAAATAAGCATACTAAAATGTAAATAAACATGTTTAGGATCACTAACCAATTATGGAACTATTTGAATACGTGCCCGTTGTCCGAAATTAAAACCCAAACCAAACAAAATCTAGCCGATAATTCTGATTTTCAGGCTGATAAAATTGGCCAATATCTCACATTATCGCCATATTATCGCCGATAATCATCAAAAAATAATAACCTATTTAAAATTGAACTTATCATAGCGGAAGGGGTTCAAATCCGATAACTTGGCGATAAATTGATGTTACTGGCCGATATTTAAAACCATGCATATCACTTAAACATTTGTATCATTGTAATTTTCAGCTTGCTGTACATACAGGCTCTATGTTAATTCTTTTACGGCAGTTAACTTACCTTTTCTTCTCTAATCATATGCGGTCTTTCATTCGTTCTTTCTTTTCTTCCCATATTATTGACACTTCTCTGTCTTTGATTCAGCTTCTTCACCAATACGCTTATTCTTCCTGTAGTAAATGGACCCACAGAAGGCTTGATGCTTATCTATGTTTGCCATTTTCTGACATTTTTTCTAGGTTTGTTATTAGTATTTGTTATACGCAAATATCTTTCTTTCCATTTGCTTTTCAGTTTGAAGCAGAACTATTTTGATTCAGCATGTATTGTTATCTTGCATTCTGATCATGCGCTATGAATTTCTTTCAGGTGCTGACTGGTGGGCACAAGATTTTAGAAAATCTATGCCCCTCTTAAGTTGGATTCCTTTTATTCCTGGTAGGTCACTTTATTTATGATTAATGCTTTCACATGTAAATTAAAGTAAAACTTGTACTAAATAATTCTTACATGATGCATGAGCCTTTATCTTGCGGATTAGAGGACTGTTGTGGAACGTAGATGCAAAGGTGTTGTTTATAAGTTTATGGTTAATTATACATTGTTAATGCTGGCTTTTGAACTCTACCCATTCTATATACATCTCTGATTTCTTTATACCTGTTCAGGATACAATGCTAGATTAGGAAGGATATGGAAACTTTCTAAGTGGAGGAGATCTGCTATATGATGACTCTCTTGGGAAAATAGAAAAGTTTTTTTTTGGGGGGGTGGGGGGGGGGGGGGGGGAATGAGGGGGGAAATTTTTTTTGGTATTA